CTGATTTCAAACCAATGGTGCACATGGACTCCAGTATCCTGAGGGAACAAATGGCGTATAAACCAATCGTTGGTCACTGGCTACCATGGGAGTGCATCTATTGACGTTGCTCCACTGCCTCGTGGATTAGACCTTTAGGTCGAAGGCTCCAGGTGTAGCCTCCTAAGAAAACCAACTGCTTCGGTTTGGGCACCCATGCAATATCCAAGCCCTCACATAAATCGACTGATTTATGTGGGGCATATCTATTTGCTAACTCCTTGTACCAATATTTATGTGTTTAAATAAAATAAATGGTAGTCTATGATATGGTATCTATCAAATTTCTGATGTTACTATTAGTTAAAGCTTAAGGAAATTTATGTGATGAATAATAAATAATTTTGACTAAATGTAGATCTGGTTCTTCATGTCATCTAAGTTTATTTGACCAAATGATGAGTATCAGTAGTCTTTGCATAAACAGTGTTGCTTGAGAAAAATAATCCATAAATTTGAATTCCGTAATATCAATCACGAACTCTTGTCTTAAAAATGAAAAAGATCTTGATGTCTACTTGAAAAAAACGTTTTATGTTTACCAATGAAATAAATTTCCACAAGTTCAAATTGGAATCTTGATCTTGTGGAGCCAGTGTTGTCAAGGCTAAGACGATAACACCAGTGATACTTGATGAATATCCCTGTATATTATAGGTTAACTGAACTTGTAATTGTAAGTCAATCAATTTTTAAAACAATCTCAATCCGATTGAATACCACTTATACTGCATACAATCCTATGAAAGAATGAAATTATTTACTGCTAACAATTATCAAACCATGATATATTCATTCTTCAGGAATCTTCAATTTCTTACTATCATTCTAGCTTATGATCATTTATAATACAACATTTCACGTACATATTAAGCACTGAAGTAAGTATTGTTATTTCATTTTGACATAGTAATTAATCTTCAATAAGATTTGGGATGAGGAACAAGTACCAACAGACTGGAAAGAAGGACACCTGATCAAAATACCGAAGAAAGGCGATCTCAGCAAGTGTGATAACTACAGGGGCATCACTCTTCTCTCAATACCGGGAAAAGTCTTCAACAGGGTATTGTCAAACAGGATGAAGGACTGCGTAGACGCCCAACTTCGTGACCAACAGGCAGGATTCCGTAAGGATAGATCGTGTACAGACCAAATCGCAACTCTACGGATCATTGTGGAACAATCAATTGAATGGAATTCATCACTCTACATCAACTTCAATGACTACGAAAAGGCATTTGATAGCGTGGACAGAACAACACTATGGAGGCTTCTTCGACACTATGGCGTGCCTCAGAAGATAGTCAATATCATACAGAACTCATATGATGGATTACACTGCAAAATCGTGCATGGAGGACAGTTGACAAAGTCGTTCGAAGTGAAGACCGGTGTTAGGCAAGGCTGCTTGCTCTCACCCTTTCTCTTTCTCCTGGTGATCGACTGCATCATGAAGACATCAACATCTGAAGGGAAACAAGGGATACAATGGACAGCTAGGATGCAGTTTGACGATCTAGACTTCGCAGACGATCTGGCTCTTCTATCCCACACGCAACAACAGATGCAGGAGAAGACAAACAGTGTGGCAGCAGCCTCAGCAGTAGGTCTCAATATACACAAACGGAAAAGCAGGATTCTCCAATACAACACAGAATGCACCAATCCAATCACAATTGACGGAGAACATTTGCAAGATGTAAAAACCTGTACATATCTGGGCAGCATCATTGATGAACAGGGTGGATCTGATGCAGATGTGAAGGCGCATATCGGCAAAGCAAGAGCAGCATATTTACAACTGAGGAACATCTGGAACTCAAAACAACTGTCTGTCAACCAACCACAAGGTCAGGATTTTCAATACAACTGTCAAGACAGTTCTACTGTATGGGGCAGAAACCTGGAGAACTACAAAAGCCATCATCCAGAAAACACAGGTGTATATTAACAATTGTCTACGCAAAATACTTCAGATCCGTTGGCCGGACACTATTAGCAACAACGTACTGTGGGAGAGAACAAACCAGATCCCAGTGGGGGAAGAAATCAGGAAGAAGCGCTGGAAGTGGATAGGACACACATTGAGGAAAGCACCCAACTGCGTCACAAGACAAGCCCTCACATGGAATCCTGAAGGTCAAAGGAAAAGAGGAAGACCAAAGAACACATTACTTTGAGAAATGAAGATAGACATGAGAAAAATGAACAAGAATTGGATGGAACTAGAAAAGAAGGCCCAGGACAGAGTGGGTTGGAGAGTGCTGGTCAGCGGCCTATGCTCCATTGGGAGTAACAGGCGTAATTATTATTTTATTATTATTAATTAATCTATTGTTCAGCTACTTTTTCTGTGCAAGCATAGCTATTTTCTATAGTCTTGCAATTTATCCTTCTATAATAAACTTGGAATAGATAATGAAACTAGAAAGGAAATTTTCAAAAAAAAAATCACCCCACATTAAGTCACACTATATATAGATATCAATGATTGAATCAATGAACTCAAGTTTGTTCAGTGACAATTTGTTATTTGTACACTTCTAGTTGAAGTTTGTGCTAATGATGTCATTCAGAAGAAAGATGAAAGCTCCATGACCAAACCATCCAGCTCAGAGAACAAAACACCATTAAACCACTAATTACAGGTAATAGTCTATAGGTTAATAATCTATGAAAATTCTATAATAATAAAAAACATCTTTGTTGTTATAGTCAGTAGATCAACATTTATTATTTTTTTTATTGAGCCATTGTGTTGTGAACAGAACACGAATGGGGACAATCGAATGTATTTGACACAAAATTACATGACTTGTTAGTAAAATCTAACATTCATAAAGTAAATACGTAATTTGCAAAATGTCCATCAATTGTCTCAAAATGACTCAGACTTCATTGTTCTTGCATTTGCACACAAATTGTATTCTGTTTCCATTCTTTACTGTTCGATCCTCTTGTGTCTCTGCTGCCAGACCTTCTGTTTACGACTAACATCATATACTACTTATGTCAATATAAGTAGCACACACCAATATTGAAGTTCAAATTTTAGTGTGATCAATGGTTTCTGATTAAAGTAAATATTTTAATGGATCAAAAGCCAATATAAAAATAAGCCAAACTGATTTTTTTTAAAAAAATATAAAGTTTCATAGAAAGAAATGCAACCTTTAAATCATTTCTTCCAATCATTTCTATACGTTTCTAAACGTTTTATTAGAAAACGTATATACGTATATGGTGTATACTGCTCATGTCAATATAAGTAGTATATAACATCAATCAGAAGTAGAATACCTGGCATCAGAAGGTTGAAAAGATAGAATCAAAGAGAATGGGGACATAGAGGAACTTCGAGACAATTGATGAAGGGTTTAAAAAAAATGTGTTGAAAGTATGGTTTTTATATTTTACCAAAGAACTCTGTATTTTGTGATAAAATGTATATTGGTTGTCCCCACTTGTGTTCTCATTCACAGTACATATACTAAAGTTATAGTTTAAATATATCAACTCTTTCTATACCAGATGTTAATTGGAATATTTTTACAGGCTTTTTTATTTGTCAACTACATGTAAGCTCTGTAATCAATGTTTATTATTCTTGCCTAAAATTTTTTACTTTGCACAAATAATTGGCTTTCATGACTTAGTAGCTAGGTGTATAATGCGATGGCGTTTGAAACAAGCAGTAATAGGTTCGAGTCCCCGAGTGAACATTAACTCTGAGACGCAGATATATTCAGCTGATGAGTCCTAAATAGGATGAAAGACGCGTCCTAGATTCCACTGTTAGTCACTATCTTTCCTTATTATGCTTGTGAATTAAGATAATATTGAAGCCATTTGCACAGCATGTACGTATGTCAATAAGAGGACTGATCAATTGCAGTCCTAATCATCAATCGGAAGATTCAAGTAAAACAACACCAAGTGAATTTGACTTGTGTAATTTAACAGTAATTTGGTGAAACAATGCACTTGTCATGTTCCACTGAGTCGTACTTGTTTACTAACGCCTGTTACTCCCAATGAAGCATAGGCCACCGACCAACATTCTCCAACACACTCTGTCCCACTCTGCCTTCCTTCCTAGTTCTATCCAGTTGTTGTTCATTCTTCTCAAGTCTGTCTCCATTTATCGGCCAAATGCGTTCATTGGTGTTCACCTTCTCGTTTGACCTTGGGGATTCCATGTGAGGGCTTACCCTGTGACTCAGTTCGGTGCTGTCCTCAATGTGTGTCCTATCCAATTCCAGTGCTTCTTCCTGATTTCTTCCTCCACTCGAATCTGGTTTATTCTCTCCCACAGTAGGTTGTTGCTGATCATATCTAGCCAACGGATCCGAAGTATTTTGCATAGACAACTGTTAATAAACACTTGTATCTTCTGGACGATAGCTTTCACAGTTCTTCAAGTTTCCGCCTCATACAGTAGAACTGTCTTGACTTTGGTTTTGGTCGATAGTAGTTTTGAGTTGTAGATATGCTGTTCTTGCCTTGTTCATCCACTTCTTCACTGAATCATTTTCTTATAATTCTACCAACTAATCGTCTATTTTATAATTTATATATCATATGTAAAAATAATTGTTTAGATTTCTGATTTTCTCAATAGAAATGATTAAAGTAACTTAGATTTGAAGACAGAAAACAAAACAAAACAAAAGACTACACAAAAAGTTATTTAATATTCTGACTGTAAACATTTACCATGATACACAGGATTATAGATATGAGTGTATTTAGTCTTAGATATGTTTACATATATGTATATACATATGCATATGTAAATTTGATCTTTCTAGTCTATACAAACTCAAGTAGTTTTATATGCCATTTGCATTAGCCAATCTTTTGAAAGTTTTATTCATTTTTTAATTAAATCAAGGTAAATAGTAGTTACATAAATGTAGAGACATTATTCGTTGAGTTGAAGTTATGTTACTAAATGTTAAACTTTGTACTGTTTCAGGTCAGTATAGAACAATCTACTGTCTAAACATATGCATATATATATATATATATATACAGATATAGATATACATGTTTATGTAAATAATAAGAGTCTTATTTTACACTTCCTATAGTTCTTTTTACATTGATATTGTCAATTATATCAAATCAAATCGAATATAATATGGAATGTAAAAAAGCTGTTGTTAAAAATGCTGATATGTCAGATGATATGCAACAATGTGCCGTTGATATAGCTGCTCAAGCAATGATTGAATATAATATTGAAAAAGATATTGCAGCTTATATTAAAAAACATTTTGATAAAAATTATGGTCCAACATGGCATTGTGTTGTTGGTAAAAATTTTGGAAGGTAACTATTTATTTTCAAAATGTTTTCTTTGTTTGTTTCTTTTAATCAATATTGTTTGATTACACTATTTGAGATAATCATTTATTGTAGTCGATAATTTAAGATGTACTATGTTATAGAAAATGAAATTATTTATTGAACTTCTGTTCTCTGAATTAGATGGTATAGTTGTGGAGCTTTCATCGTTCTTCTGAACATTAGATTCGTGCTGATGACAGCGTTCAGGAGAACAATGAAAACTTCACAACCAAATTATTCAACTCAGAGAACAAAATACCATCAAAATCATCCACCTGAGCTATAAATCTTCACCACTATCTCGAAATGATTTGTTTCATCCAGGATATAACATTGATTGGTTTATTTTCGAAAAGTTGATATATAATTAAGTAAATGACAAACATGAGAATTGGCATAATCTTTCAGTTTATTGTGATCGGAAATATGGCTTATAAATACACTATTATTGAATAATTCATCATTATCTGAACTAATAATCTAGAGGTAAGATTTTATTTTAAATGATTTTTCTTAATAAAATTGGGTCATGAGTCAATTGAAACTAGAACACCATGGAAATCCTGAAAGCGCTAAACGGTCGTCTCATCCTAGTATAGGACTCCTTAACAGTGCGTATCCACAATCCCACCTAGAGAGATTCGAACCCAGGATTTATCAGTGTCGCGTGTAAACGCTTAACCTCTATACCACTTAGCCGGCATCCAATAGTACTGTTGTCTAAATTTAACTAAAATTAGATTTGTTCATGATATCTATTTTATTAAAATCGTAGTAAATTTATTTTTGACAAATTCGTGAAAAATCATACAGAAAACAAAACAATTCAGTCTAAATTCCTAATATCATTGAATATTCCAATGAGTATAAAAACTTTATCTCTTCTCTGAAGAGGCGATATACACTGAGTGACGAAACTTCAGAAAAACTTATATTTCTTAAGTTTCTATCCAGTACTCACTATATGTGGAGCTATCAAGTTCAACCTTGGCAATAATACGTACAAACTTATGTCATTTAGTTACAGCTATATATAAATGCTAGCTGTTTATTGTAAATAATTTTATTATTTATTTTAATGGTGAAAATGTTTACTTTTTCCAACAGTACTATCTAGTAAATTGTTTTGTTCTTTAATGAATACAATAATTTCTTAATAATAGAGAACTAATATCAGATGGGTTTTACGGATACTATAGTAATTTCAATGGTTAAGATCATGAGTCAGTTGAAGATACACCACCGTCGAAAACCTGGAAGCACTGGACGGCTGTTTCGTCCTATTGTGGGACTCCTCAGCAGTGAATGAATTGCCAATAATGATTTACTAAGTTAGATTACCCAGTTTAACGTGTTTCCACCAAGTTTGTTTTCTAATGAAAGGGGTTGATGACTCCATGCTTAACCCTCCTATTTTTTTTTACCCTGGTTTAAGATCAATAATAACCTTAAATGAGCCACAATCAGAGTTCCATTACATCAAGATAACTTTGATTCATAATCTGTAATAACTTTTTCTTGTCTCTATGCATACACTATTCAATAAACCATGTTAATTGCTATCATTATTATATATTTACTTTTGATTCTTTATTCTTTATTTCTATAGTTACGTAACACATGAAACCAATAATTTTATTTATTTCTACCTACAAAATGTTGCGGTACAATTGTTTAAATCAGGATAAATAATCAATTATACAATTTATATAATTCAATGCACATATTCCTTTGTTTTCAATGAGTAGAACTACAACAACAACAACAACAACAACAATAAAATAAAGAAAAAAGATAAAAGTAGAAAAAGAAAAGAAAACAAAGGACAGTTTTAATTCATTCCGTATACATTAATATTGTTAAATAAATCATTCATAAACTTGTTGGTATTTCATAATCAAATTGATAATAGTTGAATTCATGAATTGATTAAAACTAGACCATTATGGGAAAGCTGAAAGCATTAGAACGATCGTTTCGTCCCCAGTATAAGACTCTTCAGTATTGAACATCGATGATCCAGCTTGTTGTGTAAATAAAATAGTCTTTTATATTTAAAGTAATTAGTCCATTTTATAAATTTCGATAGAACAATGAGAAGACGGAGTTTATCTGAAAAATGTGTATAGGAAACCAACCTGGACGGGACAATACTTAACTTTCCATAGTTTTTGTCTATTGCAATAGAAGCGAGGCCTGGTTAAGTGTCTCTTTAAGAGGACTCAAAGAATTTGTATTTCTGACACGGTGGAAAAAGATGAAAAGTTACTGACTGACATATTAATAGCAAATGGTTATCCACTAAAATTTATTAATGGGTGCAAAAGTCAGTTAATGCCCAGACCTAATGTTTATTTAGTTCCAAAGAAAAAAGTTTATATCAATCTACCATATAGAGGCGAATCCAACAGCATAGTTTTAAGACCGAGATTGAAAACAGACATCGAGAATACCTATATGCTGCTCAGTTGGTTGTGATTGAAAAGTCCATGAAAAGCCCATGATTCCTAATAGACCCAAACAATGCACTAACGATTACGTCACATCCCATTGTATTTACCAATTTACATGTCTGTGTGGAACACATACATAGGAAGGAGTAATCGAACAATGTAATCAAGGGTCAATGAACATGTGCCTAGATGGCTTCAAAATCAATGTGTGTCAAATGATTCGATCAATGTGGGAGGTAGGAAACCAGGTTCATCGATAGCGAAATCTATAATTGAAACGGGGTACAAAATTGACATTAATACAGCTTTTAGAACGTTGTATAGAAATTGTCATAGACGAATTCTTAAGTTTATTGAAGCCTTGGCTACTCGTAAATTTAAAGACCCCTTATGTTTACAAAAACAATTTGTCGTAATCTTGAATTTACCTTGGTAGTCCTAAAGTCATTCTATGGCCTAGGATAACGCGACAATTTATTATTCGTTCTCTCCCCTTTTTGTTATTTTACTTGAACTTTCGTTTAATTGACCTTTATCAATTTTCATATAAAATGCCCTGACGAGTATATGTGTGTGATCAGATTGTTCGAAATGTATAGCATAGTTGCATCACATTTTTCGAGATTAGATGGTGGTTGGAGGTAGTCGACAGGAAACCCTGGACCCGGGTTTCGTGCTACTTGGCACTTGTCAACAAGGTGTACCTGTAATCTTGAAGGAACTGGTGTTCCCTGGCGGATTTGATCCTGTGTCACCCAGCTTCACAGTCAGAGACGTTACCACTGAGCTATCCGGCCGCGACTGACCTCCTGTAGGACTGAAATGTAATCACAATTGATTGATCAGTGGGTGGTGATCGATGTCATACGTGTCAAGTCCTAATTTAGTGCAGATCGAATGCTATCGACCATCACATTTTTCAGATAAACTCCACCTTCTCAGTGTTCTATCGAAGTCTTTTATATGTATTGAAAAATTACCGTATGAAATAGAAAGTTAATAAAGGTATCAAGTATGCTCATTTTGTGAACTAAAATTTTAATTAAAGGAAAATATAAGAAATTATTTTGATTGGATCTCAAGATTAATAAATTAAATATCATATATTTGTTTGTTATATTCTCTGTTTAGATGATTCATAATTGATGTTTGATTTAGTAGCTATCACTGAATTAAGTAGTATGTAAATTTTGATTAAATAAATCACATTTCAGAAACATCTTACTAACTGTAAATAAACCTGCGGAATATTACAGTTCTTACTATACTTTAGAACTATAGGTCATTTCTAGTGTCATAAAGCATTGGTCATAATCATTTATAACTAGAGAAAGTAAAATGGAAACAGAGATCATGGAAAAATAAAAAAAGGATAAGTCAGTAAGTCAGATCTACCATAATACATGTGTCACGTTATTTTTTGCTCTATAGTTTGGGTTAGATATTTTTCAGAATAATTAAGGCTGTCACAGACGATTCATTCAAATCTTCTCTCTGTTCTATTTACATTTCAATGTCACGTAAAAAGCACAATCAATTTGACAATAAACTCTCGTTTCAAAGAAACGATCACTGAGTTAACATATTTGGTATGTAGGCTGTGATTGATCCGTTGTCGTGTGTTGGACTGTCTGATAAGCGTTGTCAACTCTCATGCAAGATATTTCACAAATCTTATTACATAAAACTGAACATAATCACTGATTTGTGTTGTCATCATTATCGATAACGGAGTTAGTGTACAGTATCAGTACATAGCGAGGTTTAATTAGCAGGCTCAGTAGCGAAAACGACTAAACATTTAAAACTTCTATAATCTCAGTTATGAAATGGGATATATTTAAAATTGTAAGCACACCAAAGGCGTTTTCAGAGGGGAAGTAAGCATCGATGTAGTAAATAAAGGATAGATGTGATTTTATTTCACGGACGGATTGTGGTAAATTATTCCAGAGTCTCGAAAGTTTACTAGTGAACTAACTCATATGGAGAAATTCAGGATGAGATTGTTTCATTAATGAAAAACAGTTACGGATGCTACAACTAAGAGTTTCTGAACATTGAGTTTAAAAGATAGTTTATTAAGTATTTTGGAGAAAACGATCAGATTTAGTTAGAGTCTCCTCTTCCAAAAAGTGTAGAGTCCAAGTTTATTACATCTGGAGTTATAATTAAGGGTAAAATCAATCTCAAGAATATGAGGTGTTAATATTCACAGAACGGATTTCAGTCTTAATTGATATCTTATGCGAACACTACTAAGAATAAACTTGCAGTATTCTAGGAGAAGTCGAATACATGCTCCGTAAGTTAAAATACATGACTCGTTGAAACAGAGGTGACAAATTGTGACGTTGAGATTTGGTGTTGTATTTCGAGATTTGATAGATGATGAAAAATTGTAGGAACACTTGGGTCCCAAGTCTACTACTGTATGATACTTGGATAACGCCTCACAATTTATGGTTGGGTCTAGGTTTCCACTGCTAGCCACTATCCATCTTCGCTTATAATGCCTGTGAATTAAGACTATATCGAGGCAATACGCACAGCATGCACACATGCCAATAAGAGACTGATCAATTGCAATCCTAAACATCAATCGGAAGATTCAAATAAAAAATACCAAGTGAATTTAAATATCTATACAGTTTGTACGAAAACAGTGAAGATTGGATAAGAGTTCATTTACAGGTTAGTTTCCGTAAGTTATAGAGTAATCATTAATATCATAGATGATTATTTATTGCATTAAGTCACTTATTTTTTGAGAACTTAAACATCCTTTGATTAAAAGTGACTTTTAACAGACATTCGTAGGCGACTCCAAAGGTAAATGAGCAACATAATGTAAAACTCAAAGTGTCTCAGAGTGTCGACTCAAAAATCAAGATGTTAACAAGACTATGCAAGAAACATTTCAGTGAGTTATAGAAGTTCTCCTATAATCAATTTCGATTATGGTTAAATTTTGTTGAGCCCTTTTATTAACTTACTTAACAGACAATGTTATTCGAACAGTAACAATTCGCATGTTTCTTTATACTATTATGACCACTAACATATCTGTATAAACGAGTACGCTTGATCACATGACAGACTCTAGCTAAAATGTTGATAGCTTAAATATCGCTCGATGAATCATCCTCTTCCCCACTTATATATGTACTCGAACCCAGTTATTAGCCTTTGAATTGCCTATATACGCCTTTTTCGATTTGACTATAAATCCGCCTATGTATTTCCTTGCACATGCACACATTCACCTTTCTGCTCCAAGCTCGCTCGATGTGCTTGTAGCTTTATGATATGTGCTATCCGCTAATAAACTGTATTCGCCGCTTCTTATTGCCTTCTGATTTCAAACACCGTTGGGATTTACATAATAACGGTTATCAAGGTGATTGATCAACAATTCAAAGCCACTACACAGTAAATCCCCACATACATTAATTATACAAAGAGGCTAGTTAAATTACCTCGTGTCACTTGGTCACGATGTGTATAGAATACAGTAAACTACTACTCTGAACGATCTAGACTTCGCAGATGATCTGGCTCTTCTATCGCACACGCAACAACAAATGCAGGAGAAAACGACCAGTGTAGCATCAGCCTCAGCAGCAGTAGGTCTCAATATACACAAAGGGAAAAGCAGGATTCTCCGATACAACACAGCATGAAATAATCCAATCACAATTGACGGAGAAGATTTGCAAGATGTGAAAACATTTACATATTTGGGCAGCATCATTGATGAACACGGTGGATCTGATGCAGATGTGAAGGCGCATATCGGCAAAGCAAGAGCAATATATTTACAATTGAAGAACATCTGGGACTCAAAATTATTGTCAACTGCTAACACCAAGATCAGGATTTTCAATACAAATGTCAAAACAGTTCTACTGTATGGGGCAGAAACCTGGAGAACTACAAAAGCCATCATCCAGAAAACACAGGTGTATATTAACAATTGTCTACGCAAAATACTTCAGATCCATTGGCCGGACACTATTAGCAACAACGTACTGTGGGAGAGAACAAACCAGATCCCAGTGGGGGAAGAAATCAGGAAGAAGCGCTGGAAGTGGATAGGACACACATTGAGGAAAGCACACAACTGCGTCACGATGCAAGCCCTCATATGGAATCCTGAAGGCCAAAGGAGAAGAGGTAGACCAAAGAGCACATTACTTTTAGAAATCGAGACAGACATAAGTAAAATGAACAAGAATTGGATGGAACTTGAAAAGAAGACCGAGGACAGAATGTGTTGGAGAATGCTGGTCGGCGGCCTATGCTTCATTGGGAGTAACAGATGTATGTAAGTAAGTAAGTAAATCACTACTCTTTAAATACAATCCAAGTCAATTTTATTTCAAAAACTCCTACTATTAAAAATAACGAAATTTCAGAAACACACATTCTATATACAAATTAATTCAGAAGTAAAATATTATCTTAGAAATCACTAAATAATCATACTTTATTCATCCAACGATATATGCACGCTTTGAATACTAATTATAAATACCTCTAATTAGTGTATCTGTTATAAGAATGACCATTAGTCGATTAGCGAAGTTCAGACATGTCTCTTACTAAAATGTACAATTGTGCATTCTGACACGATTTTAAATTATGCTTACTTGATTTCATAAGACACATAAATTTGTTTTACATTAGAATATTAGTAATATCTAATCAGATAATGTCAAGAATGCACAAAAAGCTGATGAACTAGCACTCAGTCTCAACTGAAAGACCTAATTAACATTTTAGTAACTTGGACTCAGTTTACAATCACAAATGAATTCATGTGGGTGGATACTAAACCACACAACAAAACATTGGTTGTGAGAATTATCAATCGACAGTTCAGTTTTTAATGATGGTTAGTAATGGTGTGGCCTTAAGTGACCCTTCTGTTAATCAACAAAGAAATTCGCTTTCACACACATGTACATTTGTGTTAACTTATCTGCATAAGCTCAAGTGTAATCAGATGGAATAGAGATAAGGAGCATTGTCTATGTCAGTAACTCGCACGTTCACTTCATACTTAGAAAATGAACAACACAAATTTGATTCTGAAATCGATTACATTGATTGTATAGGCCAACACTGAATAAAATTTAAGAGACAATATCTACAAAGGTATGTCATCATAATAAAATTCATACAAGTAACACAAATAAAAATGAAATTACAGAAGTTCACTCTCTTGTGAATTCGGAAGAATAACTCAACGACCAATAAAGACGTTCACTTCATTACTTATTAACATTCGACAATCACAACTTCAAATGTGTGAGGTGGAATGGTAATGAGCCTCGGACACTTGTTTCGTGCTATTTAGGATTTATCGCTGTAGCGTTTC